TGCATGTTACGTCAAGTTGAATTTTTCTTTGCGACTGCGATATGTTAACATTTCTCACTTCCTGTCCGGTTTCCTCATTAAAATAACCCGGCGAAATTCGAGGACAATTTTCACCGTTCGATTTAAACAATAGTCTAGTTCTGTAGTACAGTATAAGGGCCTACAAATCTTGATTTGCTAACTTTCTCGTTATCGATTTTAGTGTTTCGTTCTCAAAATATCAATTAGGCCTATATTGTACTTTGTTTATTTCATTTCACCTATTTAATATTATGTTTTGAACTGACAAAAAAATCTCCAGATATACACTTATACAAAAAACATCATTCAAATGTTAAAATTATAAAGTTCGGGTTTAATATAAACAGGAATTAAAATTAAGAATGAAATACATTTGAAAAAATTGTTTATTGAAATTAGCAGAAAATATTCCAACTGACAATAGGCCTATAAATATTTTATATTTTATTTATTTATTTATATTACATGTTCTATATATTATTTTTATATTATAAAAGTTTTTAGTATAATAAATGTAATTAATTAAATCTAATTGCAATCCTCATTCTTGACCACCACCCCCACCCCCACCCACGAAAAAAATCTCTGGTCCATTTACTTCAGTCAATCACAATACTCCAGTGATAATTTACGGATGTATAGGCTTTGGCGGCGCCATCGGTGGAGGGAGACAGGGGGTTAAGCCCCCCATCGGTCTGATAATGCCCCCATCGGTCTGGTAATGCCCCCATCAGTCCTGTCACGCCCCCCCCCCACCCATCGGCCAAAGCTCGTCGGGCAGTCGGACCAAAAAAAAAATTAGAAAAAAAATAGGCCTAGTTTTCCCATCCCATTTCAAGCCATCTAGAAGTTCAATTTTTTTTTTTTTTTTTAAATCTCGTTTTTGGGAGTAGGGGACACCCCTCCCATACCCAACTCCGGCTCCGGCCTTCGTCCCCCTTGGATAACGCTGCGCGCTATAGCTACACCCATAAATACTTAGGCCCCCAGTCGGACACCTTAGCACCCCCCACACCTTAGCCCCCCATAAATTATATCCTAGAGCCACCACTGTGTATAGGGCTAACAAAATCTATAAGATTTTACATGCCTATCATTGTGTTTGAAAAAAATGGAGGATATGCTTCTTTTCAACCATTTTATTATCAATACATAAGTCAATGAGAGTTCTAGTTCGTCAACAATATTGTTGTATAGGCAAGATATACAGACAGCATACGTTTCCGTTTATGTTTCTTGGAGTCAACTTTTCATAAGAATCGTTTGCAAAGCAACGTATGCGAGATCATTCAACAAAAAGTCATTAAATCACTGTTTCCTGTCAAATAGTGAAAAATCAACGTATCAAATGAAAATTCAATACGTCGGTATCCTGACCAAACCTGTTTTGCGACGATTTTAGTTTACGTTAAGTCGATTTCACAACGCACGAGTCGCAATCAGTTACCTGTCAAATCGTATTTTCTTAAGATAAAACGACATAATTTATTTATTTAATTATTTCGGTATAAAACATAAATATACAATAAGCAGCAAAAGCTGAAAGAATTGCATTTACAGAATTATTGAAATATACAGTACATTAAAATTATTAACAGGCAATATTTAAAAAAACATCAATATAACAAATTAAGATTCAAGACATAAAAAAAGAGTCCACTAAAAAAAAACAGAACAGTTAAAAACACATTAGAAAAATAATAAAAGCAAATACAAATAAATTAAAATTGCACATACAAAGGCCAAGGAGAACAAACTCATGATCAGTATGCTATAATATTGAGTTTCTTAAATATATTTAAAATTATTAAATTATAAATAGTTTACTGTTGGATTATGATGCTTATTGATAATACGGACCAATGTGGGTATGGGTGATTTACTATATCTCTCAGTCTTAGATTTAGGTATTTCAAGCAGGTGTGTATATCTCAAAGTTCTAGAGGGTTTATGATAAGAGGGTAGCATATCTCTGAAAACAACAGATTTCAACAAACTACTGCCAAAAGCAAGTGTACAGGTAAGTGTTTCTCTTCTTTTCTCGAGTGAGGGAATATTAAAAATTGAAAGAGCATTATCATAGTTAATATAATTAAACCTAAAATAATCTAAAGTAAATCTGCCTTCACCCGTCGACAGGAAACCAGGCTTGACTGGTAAACAATGAATATGTATAAAAGTTGATTGTGCACTGTATCCAGTTGTAGCTAAATTGCTAATCAATATTAATGAGTTAAAGTTATTAAATTAGCTGACAGTAAATGGCACTCTGTTATAAGTCCATGCTACTGAAGTGTGTCCATGTTAATGTGTTAACCAAAAGAAAGGAGTGGGTTAGTGCAATGCTACAAAGAGCAGAGGCAAAGCTTGTTCAAGGTATGAGGACTGAAGAGCCAGAAATAGCAAATGGAAGCTTGGTGTTATATTTTGTTTAAAATATATTTTACAGTGAGAGTAGAGATTAAGTAACTTGAAATTGTACTTACCTGAATTCAAATTAAGAATGATGTGTGTGAAATGATATTTATTAACAGGTTATAGTTGCATGGTACTGTATTGAGCCCAGTGGGGTTTTACATTTTTCAGTTTTTGACTGTATGGGGAGCAGGACATACCCAATGGTCTTGTGATGAAAGTGTTAGCAACCAATGTGGTATAATATACCACATTGGTTGCTGAACTGAGTTCAGGGACCGAGATGGTGGACGTTATACTATATAAGGTGCTCAGGAACTGAGATTTTATTTGAGTTGAACATGTAAAGGCAAGCGTATATTGAGCTGGTTTGATGACGATATACAAAAATGGACACCTTGTCGTTTACAGTTGAAATATAATTTTCCAACTACAGTACTACTAAGTGTAGTGGAAATAATTACTTCCTTCACACAAATAATTTCACCTTATAGTGGAAAACCGCATTAATACTCACCGATTTCTAAGTCTGAAAAGTTGATATACTCCATTAACTTTAAGTCGCCTCTTTGCCTTTGAGAGAAGCTGTAAATAAAAAGAACAATAATAATAATTATTATGATAATTAGGCTTTATATAAGGCATTGTGCCTTCCAAGAGCAAAGTTTTACACCTTGTTAAAATTATCAAAATGCCCAATAAAAATCATCTGGGATAAAAAGAATTACAGGGTCAAGTTTTTTTTTAAATCTTCACACTACACCAATAGTAATGACGTCATCTTCTTGTTTGGGATTAGAACAAATGACTTCACTTTACAACGAACGATTAACGGTCTGCAACTTTACAACGAATGATTAACGGTCTGCATCTACCTTGGTTTGTTCGAGTTTACATTGGATCGGTTTACTTCACTGTGGTTTATATGAGTTCCAGTGGATCATTTCATTCTATGTACGACTGCTAAAGTTTTGATTGAATGGCGTGGCCTTTTATCAGATTGGTTAAAAACGTATGTTCGAATCATGCGTATGTTTTGAGTTTAGACTGAGTGGTTTAGCCTTTACTCAAATGATTTGGTTTCCGTTTGGATAATTTTGTGTTCCATTGCACATGATTTGTGTTTTAATTAAATTATTTGGACAACATACGCTTGGGTATGGGATGAATGATTTGGCTTTAGTGGATGAATTCGTTTTTGAACGAATGGTTTGGTTTTTGATACTGTGGTTTATATGAGTTCCAGTGGATCATTTCATTCTATGTACGACTGCTAAAGTTTTGATTGAATGGCCGGCCTTTTATCAGATTGGTTAAAAACGTATGTTCGAATCATGCGTATGTTTTGAGTTTAGACTGAGTGGTTTAGCCTTTACTCAAATGATTTGGTTTCCGTTTGGATAATTTTGTGTCCCATTGCACATGATTTGTGTTTTAATTAAATGATTTGGACAACATACGCTTGGGGTATGGGATGAATGATTTGGCTTTATAGTGGATGAATTCGTTTTTGAACGAATGGTTTGGTTTTTGATTTATGATTTGGTTTTGTATGAATTTGCTTCCTTACATTTGACTTTGTATTGAAAGGTTTGGGTTTAGCTTGGATGGGAATTGGCTACATATTTTTGGCGGATTTGGTTTTCCATTGCTATTCTTACTCTGCTGTCATCGCTGCCTATGCTGCCGGTGCCATCCTTGCTGCCGGCACCATTACTGCTTCCAGTATCGCTGCCCACCAATTTTTAGGTTACAGTACTCAACTGAACTGTAGATATATAGGCCTACAGTATTCTGAAAACTTCAATTAAAACTCAAAATATTATAATATTCCGCTAGGCCTAAGCAAGGCCCCTTGATTGTTGATGGAGCTACAACAAAGGGGATATGACCGGTTGAGCCGCCGACAAGTTGAGCCGCCAGTAATTTCTATGGAACGCCAAGTGCGTCTCTCAGTGAATGTAGTCGGCTTGCCGATGTCATCAGTGAACGAACCCCCGGATACCAGCTACATATTCATCCCACAGTCTTGTCAGTCGTTCGTGATGTATAATTGTGTAATTGAAAATTAGAATTTTGATATTTTTATGTACTACATTTTTATAAAAATATATGAAGTTGTATAATTGCAAAATCGTATTAAAAATGTAATTTTATGTACTACA